ATCGTCAGGGGATGCAGTGGTTCACAACTTCCATCTTTCATTTTTTTTCACATCCGTTTCAGTCAGTTTGACAGCCTGAATACAACCTTCAAATGTATAATGCAACTGCAAAACTGTCTGCTTCTTTCTGAGATCGCTTTTTCCAACAAATTTGACAATATTTCTCCAGCTCTGACAGTTTGTCGGACATAGCAACAGTAACTAAGGGGGGCGGGGCTTAGCGAAGGGGCAATTGAACAGTGTTGAAAAGGTAGCCCTTTTCGTACATTATTTCGTACATTAAACAGCATTATTAAATATTTTTTCTTGGGTTGAGGCCAACCTGTAACAAAGGTGAGCCCACAGTAGTACAAGCGTACGACCAGTAGCTGATGCGTGAGATGGGGTCTGACAAAAGGAGGAAAACTAAAGTTGAAACCAATTCAAAACTGATTGCACATCAGGACAGATTATGTGACTGAGCCACAGGTTAGTATAAGTAATAATATAAAATACTAATGTGTACAAACATCAACAATTCTATTCTTAGTAAAATTTAAAATAAAAAAGAAACTACTACCATCTGGGTGTTATTATTTATTGTATTACTGGATAAATTGGCATTTTACTGTTCTTTCTGGAGCTAATTATAACTTTTAGATAATGTTGGGTAGTTTCATCTGTGGTAGTGAATCTTATTTTATAAACTGATGTTATGTAAAATGGTAATTTGTAATGTAACTCTTTTTTATGTTTCATTATGCGTCAATAGCACCTCAAACTGTATTCATATGAAATTTTGCCCAGCCCTGCTATGTGTTGTAATATAGTATACATGCATGTACATGTCAGTGATCAGGGCCTCACACATTAAGTTCACACAGGACCTCGCACACTAGGATCCGTGTTTTGAGGAACCGTTTTCCCATGAATCACCTCTATTTTTCATTCAGACAAGAGCAACAGATTAGGCGTGAAAAGTTTACTTGATGCATTCATAAATATCATATTATATTTCCCCAAAGGATACACGTGAATTGTGAAAAGCAAAGCCCTTGTTTTATAAATGGGTCTTGATCTTTTTTCCCTGTGGAGTCCAACAGGTAAACCATTAGACAGGCCTGCACGTTCCTCCTAATCAATTTACACAGCTTAAAACCATTCATCTCCATATCCCCATTTGACTTCTATATTAGATGCAAAATGTCAGATACTGTAATAATGGTGAAGCAGGGCTCAGGATTATTGCTTTACCCGTTATCTTCCTCTGGCGGTCTGCCAGATTCCTCTCTTTCTCTGTGGCAGTACATCAGTGTGTTGGAGGAATATTGTGCTCTGGGTTTTAGCTAGCAATTGTAATACAACTGACAGAATCTAACATGCCATCTAAATATAAAGAAGAACTTGACTTATTTTGGGAAAATAACCTGTTTGCTTTTTACTAAGAGCCAGATTGATTGCTTCTCTGTGTGTTCAGTACAATTTGGGGATTAAGCTTAGTTTAGCACAAAGGCTGAAAGCAAGGGGACGCTGCTAGCTGTCCCAAAAAAAAAAGAAAGAAATTCCCAAAATGTCTTAAGTAAACACATATTACATCTGTTTGACTGATGGGTGTATAAATAAAAACAACATGTGAAAAAGTGCAACGGAAACAGACCTAGCAAATAATTTGGAAGTATGAAGTATATGATTAGGGGCGGCTGTGGCTTAGAGATAGAGGTAGAGCGAGTGGCCACCCACTAATTGAAAAATTGGCGGTTCGATCCTCGGCTTCCCCCAGCATGTCCACAACCTTAGTTTCTTTCTGATGAGCAGTTGGCACCTTGCATGGCAGACTTGGCCAATGTGTGTGAATGGGATGAACGTCACACACACTGTGCACTTTGAGTGAAAGGACAACTAGAAAGTACACTCCGTTTACCGCTTAGACGTAAACACGGCAGACAAAATCATCAGTCTAAGTGGAGTGATGAGGACACTGTAATCTTCCTGAAATAAATATGCCACACTTCCATTAAGTTTTTGCTCTTCTGCAATGACTTCATGGCACTGACTTAGCGATCTCGATGAACCAACTCTGAATATTCACATAACTGTAGTGGTTGGAAAAGAACATTTTGCAGAAGTTCCAAATCCAAATGCAGTAAATTTGGATGGACACAGAGTTGAGTAAACAATCTCACCACTTAGCCCATTTAATAGCTATTCAGGAGCTTTCAGCCATATCACATGATCTTCATTAGAAAACGGAGTCTGCTCATTGCCATGGAAACAACTGCTGTTGCTTTTTCGCTGTGTGTGTGTTAGTTGCTTAGCTGTAAGAATAATATTCCAAGGAACTACATTCTACCAGGGTCTCCGTTATCATCATGTCATCATGTTATCATGTCATAACGGGGACCCTGTTCTTGAAAAGAGATGTTGCTGTTGATTATTGATGTCACTGGAACTGACCGGTTACGTCTCTTAGCTACTAAACTGCAGCTTGACTAAGCCATCGAACTAATCTAATCCTGTGATTTATTTGACAATAACAGCTAAAAAAAGGCACAGTGGTTCTCAAGTGAGTCATATTAGATCATAGATTCTAAATACCTCATTTCAGTACTGACTATTAAGCATCCATCTTTAGATTTTTAAGACAGGCCCTGAGACAAAGCACCAGAGCACCATTTTCTCCTGCACGTTCAGACTCTTACTGCAGTACTCCTGCAGATGATCTAACCATTTAGGCAGGATTAGTGTGTGCAGCTTAAGTTAATGGGAAGTGAGTAGTAGCCACGAAGAAACACATGGAAGGAAGCCAAATTCATATGAAAACCAAACTCATGTTTTCAAGAGACAGACGAGCAGGCTTGGAGACAGCATGTTGAGCCACTACTGGACTTACCAAAATAAATACTAAAACTGCTGAAAGATGTGATCAGGAGGAATCCATTCAAGCTCCTTCAACGAAACGGAATGTCTGGAAGATTAAAGGACAAAACAGGGAAGTTTGGAGGGCTGTTTGGACAGCTCTGTCTGTCTTATCATGTTTGCATGTACAAACACGCTTGCAAGCATGTCCACACGGTCTCACAAGTACATGCACGCACACACCCCTCAATGGTAGCTGTAATCCAGGAGAAGATATATAATAGAAAATGCACTGTATCAGGATTAGGATATATCTGTGAACCATATGTGTTTCTGTGACAGATGAGATGTTGACGATGATGAAACAAATTTCATGAAACAAAAACAGTGACTACATCTTTATATATTTTTGTTGATGAATAAACAGGAGGCAAAATTCATGTAGATCCATGACTTCTTTTCCTGCACATTGGGACATCTCCCCAGTAGCCAGCTCAGTTTCCCTTTGTTGGCGCATTACTAAACTTTTTTGCAGTTTACCACTGTCGCCCGTGACACAAACAAAATGGGCATCCATTCATAAACACATTGCTCCATAGTGCTATTACTGGTCAAAAATATACAAGGTACTTTAACCATAGTTCATTTGCCATAACCATGATCTTTCATAGCCTGCACAGACATTGTAGAAAGCAAGAATTTAAGGTTGGCACTGGGCTTAATCCTGGTTTTGAAGAATTGTCCATCATCAGTGTTCTTGTCTGGCAGCAGAGATGCAGTAGCAGTGTAGCACTAACAGTGCTGGAGCCTGGAACTAGCTGCACCAGCTACAGCCTTCATGAGCTGTGAGGAGGTGACAAGAAAATAAATCATAGCAAAAGCAGAGCTTGGCAGAAAAACGCATATATGTTTGGACCCACTTTTGTTGTGCAAAGAACGAGTAAGGTGTGTAGTAGCGTCAGAAAAGATCATGATGGCATCTTGACATTATTTGGGTCTTTCACTTTGAAACAAAATTGGAAAGGTTCAACAAACGTGTTCATGTGTACATAGTAATTCTGAATAAAATGTTTCAAAACTACACAAACAAAAATAGATAATAGATCATTGTTGGCCAATTAAGGCTACACTGTTTAAGTTCAGGTGTGCTTTACTGATTGGTAGTGTTCTCTTATTTTCCTGAGAGTATTTCCTATGACGGTTTCATCTAAAAATAAATATGTTAATCACAAAGAGTTTAATGTCAAGATGTATTCCTTAAATTAGTACCACTTTCTAATAAGGCAGCATTTTATAAAGGTTTTATAAGTTAATAATTACTGACTTTAATAATGGGTAATACATTTATTCCTAATGCTTTATAGATAATATTTGAGCACTTGCTAGCCAAAATATGTTAACTTACAAATATTCTACCTGGAATTAAACCAAGCCAACATTTCTTGTAGAGTAGATTTAACAGCATGGACAATTTCCAATTAAGTTATCATTTATACAGTCTATACTTATGAAGCAAGGACTTTTCAGACATTTTGAATTCAAATGGCAAATCTCCATCATAATGTCAATGCCATGTTTTCTGTTCCATTGGTCTAATTATAATGCATTTACTCAAGTTTGGTTCAAATAAGATGCTGTAGATTTGGGTTTAGGGACGTGTCGCTCTGGTAAAAAAACAATTTTGAGCTGGCTTTGTAAAACAGAAAAAAAAAATGTTTTATTAACGTCTTAGAACATATCTATGAAGTCATGGGTTTCATCTTGTAAAAACCCTTTATAAAGGCTGCCTTTAGTGGTACCCTTAAATTCTGTGACATCAGGAAAGAGAAAGAATCATTCTTAAATCATATAATCTAATTTGTTTCAAATTAAATCAGTCAGGTGGATTTACCCTGGGAGTCTAACTAAAATGCTCATGCATGGTTCAAAACTAGACTAAATTATTCACAACATTTTTGTCAACATTTATTAATGACATAAGAAAGACTAAATGTTTCTGGGTTTCTTTGACTAAGCTAGAACTACGTTTTCATTAACAAAAACAAAGATGTTGTCTAATCATGACCTAAACTCTGAAAATTCTGAGCTCACGATTATACCTCTCAAAAATAACTGATCAAATTAACACCACCCAGGGTATGACAAATTTGAAAAACACTGCAAAGGACACCCAAAACTTCGAGATTGTATTATATTTCCAAAAATATATGTACAGTCTATTACAAAGGTTACAAAGCAAAAGGAATTGTCTATGTAACAAGAAATTGTCTAATTAAATGATCTTATAGTTCTACTGTTGGGGAAAATACTTTTGACCAGTGAATATTCTCAATACTTTCATCACATAAAAATAAATAATAAATTGACAATTTGTAGTACTGTACAACAGACTAAAAGGCAAAATCAAAACCAAGTCAAAGTAAAGATGGAAATCCTATAGCTGTCTTTGGTCCTAAATGAAAAATTATGTACAACTGAAATCTTGTGGGTGGCAATAATTCATCTGCGAGATAGAAAAATATAGTGCATTTTCAATGTATTCAGAGCTCTCTACTGAGTAATAGGTGTAAAAAACAATATAAATAAAATTTACAAGTTTTACAATTAGAACATATACAAAGATTCCCTCAAATCTCAGCTCTCTGACACAATCAACAGTGCTGCACTCTTTGGAATTACCCACCACCTCGCCAAAATGGTGAAACTAATTTCCAACTGCTGAACCACAAGATTTGAAAAATAACTTCATACTCTATCTACTATTCCTGATTCCTACCAACCAACTAGATCTTGCAGGTTTCTGTTTTTTATTTTTTTATGTTTTATTCTTTTTGTGTTTTTGCTGAAATAGAGTCACCACAAAACCTTTTTTGTCCAGAGTTAAGCAACCTGAAGTTTAAAATGTGGATGAAACAAGCTGAAACAGACAGTAAAGTGACTTTGTTGGTGAAGGTTACAGGTGATGTGGACGCTGAAGTGATTGTATCCTGGCCTTAATCTCAATTTGGCTCAAACTGCTATTTCCCCAGCAGAGGAAAAAACGGGACAGAGGCATTCCACCCTGGGGTGTGAGGGGCCTCTGAGGGCCCGGTTTAAAACAGAGTAGGGGTGAGAGAGTGTGGTGCCTGTGAACTGCAGAGTTTTGTGCTGACTGAATGACTTTATGCCTGTATTCAATTCAAAGGCCTGGCCAAGGCCCAATTGCTGAGCTCTGCTGTATGGATAAAGGGTGTGTGACACAGGGGCTCAAAGCTGGTCAGGGCTAAGTCCTGGTGTCTCCTCACAAAGGTGAGTCCCACAGTCAAAAGTGATCTAAACGTACATCCACACTAAGCAGGATCGTTCTGAAAACACAGTTTATGTTTTAAAATGACGTCCATCCACGTTAGCTGTTTAGATCAATTCCATTAAGACCTCTGGTCTGGCTGGACAACAGCAAGAGAGCAAGATTTTGTTGTCCTTTGTTGGTGAACAACAAAACTGCATATAACAGTGGCGTCTGTGATCACTAATACAGTATTTTAATACAGCCGAACTTGACAGTTAGTCGCCCTCATTGCCTTTTTTCCTGTTTCTGTTGTCAGACATTGGGACAAGTGTAAAATAGTAATTTGACTGCACCTTATCAATAGTACATGTTTCAAAGGCAGACAGTACTTCCTACATAACTGTACCAATCTAGAGCTGAAACAAATAGTTTTAAGTCAGTAAATGTATAACTGACTGTTTGGTGTTGTAGTCCCTGTGATAGTTATTTGGACAAAACAAGACATCTGAAGATGTCAACTGGGCTTTGAGAAAATGTGATTTGTGATAATGTTATAGACCAATCAATTCACTGAGAAAATAATTGGAAGAGTAATTGATAATAAACATATTAGTTTTATCCAAAATCATTTGTTCTTTTCATGATTGCAAAGTTTTCAGGCAAAATACACTAAAATCAGTGAGAACACAGCTGTATTACTTTTAAAATGAGTGATCACAGAGAGGGTTATGCCCAAGTTATACATTCCCCATCCTCATGTCTGTGAGGCCGGGGCGAACCATCTGCATGCAGACCCAAAATATATGTACATACGTGAACACATCTGTCTTTGCAGCCGTGCACATCTGCTCTCTACATCTGTTTTAGGACTACAGCTACCCCTGTAGAGGTGACAGACCAGACGCTATCAAGGTAGGCTTACACCTTCTTTGTTTCTCCTGCTTTTCAGCCTTTTCAAAAGGCTCCACGCCAGCTTCGTCTGGACAGCGGGCCAAAATGGAGAGAAAAAAATGTGTTTTCAAATGTAGCTGGCTTAATGTGGACGCAGTTTAAGAGACAATGGAGAGAATGAAGAAAGCTACAAATAGATGTACTGCTTGTCAGTGAGCTCAAGGTTGATTCCTGATGTACTTAGGCTTTTCCTATGCATTTGAGATTAAACAAGTTGACAGAAATGACTGTAGCTGTGAAAATATAGATTTATCTCTCAGTTTTCAGCAGCAGTGACAGAATAAGTTATAATGGTGTTCTTTCTTTTCTGTAAACACCACTCCTCTTTACATGACAGCCGAGTAACTCAATTTTCTTATCAAAGAATGAATGCACTGAAACATACCTCGACATGGAAACTTTATCTCTTTTTTGCATTTGAGGTGGAGACAGATGGCACCGAATGGGCTGATTGGCTTTTAGCACATCATTTGCAAAGCCCCCTCATGTCTGTTCTCCATCCAAAGCCAATGGAAGAAAAGACGAGCAATCTAAAAGACACCTTAATGTGCCGTCACATCTACGCCTGTGAGGATGAGCGGCAGAGACACATGAATAAACAGGGGAGCTGCATGGCTGCCCACAGAGCCGGGACGGTGGTCCTGCATTTTCAGACCCAAACCCTGAAGGGCCTCTTTGATTTCTGGGCGGTGCGTTGGTGTCAGAAGATGATGTCAGCATGGCTAATCGGCACCTTTGTAGTGTGAAGGGAATGGCGCCTCTTTCATCTCTGCAGCCCCTCAATTCAATATTTCCACGCCATGTTAGATTTCCATCAAACGTTTAGCATATCATAGTGGCAAAATGCGACATGATTATTTCTCTGATGACTTGGCACGGCAGTTTTCCGAGCACTTTCCAAAAGGTACATTCCTTGCCTTTCCGGCGATGACTGAATCTTTCCTAAGGGTTTGACTCGGCATAGCACACACATGTGAGAAAACCTAGCACCTGAAAAACCTCAGGTGAGGACCATTTCTACCTGGTAATTATTGCTCTGTTTAGTCCACCTCTTCTTAGCTGACTCTGTCACTCGTGGCACTGAACCATGTCCGTGCACTTGATTTCACCAGTTCAAGTTCTAGATAAAAAGACATCACACTACAAGGAAAACAAAAAAAATATATAAGGAGCTTGTCCACCCTTAAAATAAACCGCAGAAAGCATTGTCATTGAAGTGCCTAAAATAGTGACAATACTTAATCTAACAAATTTTAAGGCAGTATTACATTTACACCTTTCTTGGATCCACCCTTAAAAAATGTATTTGTAGCTGAATAATGCACCAAAACAAACACTGTGTGCAACATTTTAGGCAAAAAGATGGCAAAACAATTCACGGTGGCTTCAATTTCAATACAATCTTTCAACAGTGCTGCAACATTTTAGTCAATAACCAGGTACCGTTCTGCATTTGCTGTAGTGAACACTAAGCCAAAGGATATTGCTACTCTGATATAAAAGTCTGGTGATTCGAAAAACAGTTCAGCCTCCTGAATCTTCTCAGTGCTGCACTCCTCAATTCCTTAATAAAAAAATTTGAAAGGTTGAAACCATGTCAAAACTCCACTCCTGTATGCTGCCTGCAAACAAGCATGTAAGGACAACATTTTCACTTCAACAGCACATGAAGGAAAACACGGGTCACTGCAAACAGTTCAAACAGTTCAACTGTCAGCATGTGTCAGCACAGAAAGTACCTTTGAGACTGCACCTAAAGAGTTCCCTCTGCATTTGGATAAAAGTTTACCCTGTTGTCAAGTCCAAATAGAAGAGAAAAATTAAACTGCTGTTTGGGCCACAACATATCAATGTGGCAGACAGAAAGAAAATTAGAAAAATGAACAAGTGAAACCACCGCAGGTAGACAAGTTTTTTTGTTCTTTTTAAAGGAAATCCATAGCCATGGTGTGCATTTAAATCATTCATTAAGTTAAAGAAATGTAAGCATCAAACTCCTTTCCAATGCACCATTTGATATGTGGTTGAGTTCATAAGCGCTTCTAAATAAAAAAGAAAACAAAGTAACAAAAAAGGGAGTTGTCTCGTCCAGGTAGTTTCTCTTTTGTTGCTGTTTTTTTTGCCCTTTTCCTCTCTTTAGTGGCCATAGAAGAGTTGGACCACAATCCTTCAGTGAGGAGCAAAGGAATGCTTTCACTCCAGACACAGCCGAAAGAGTCAGACATAACAGATGTCCATTTACTTTGACGATTATCCCGGGTACGTCCCAGGCACTGCTCCGGATGAGTTCTGTTTTTGTTTTCACCCTTTGTGATGCAGCCCGTTGCAGTCCATCACACCTGGACACCTGTGCCGTGGAGATGCAGCATCTGGGCTCTCATAGTCTGTATGCTGCTCATGATCTTTTTCTGATGGCCCACCAGTGTGATCCCCAAGCTCATCACGTCCCTGGAAGACAGGACAACACATCAGTATGGGGCAAACCAAGTCAGATTTACAGCCTCAGCCTTTTCATTATTCTGAGTGAGGGCTACAAAAAAGGCAGCTAGACGCAGCAGTCTTGTTTAGGCATATCAATAAATAAATTTGAGCATCAACTTCAAGGATGATGTAGGAACAAAGTATGACAGAACATCAAACCTGCTTTATCCTGTGAGAGTTTGGATCAGTAATAAAGCTTAACTATCACGCACAAGTCTGTTTAAATTTGTTGTGTTAACAAAAAAAAGTATTTATCAAAGTGATGAGGACTACTGTGGACTGAGTCTTTTACTAACTCAGGTGTTTGAAAAGGTGACAGTCCAAATCTACAGTACCTGACCCACCTGAGACTCTGACCAGGTCAGAGGCTTCAACATTTAAGCTTTTACAAACCTCCAACTAAAAGAGAATCTGGAAAGATGACAGTTCTTTTGTTTGATAAGCCACAGCTCTCTTCTAGTCTGTAGTCAGTTGTAACTTTGTACTAGTTGTAATTCTCAAATACAAGTAGTTTGGTAAAAAAAATTTACAGAAACACTTTTCTCACTAGTTCCAACCATGTCTACCTTGTTGTTGATGTTTTTCAACCAAACTCAATCATTTGGGCAGTCATTCAATATCTGGAAGAGTTGTGCCCTCTGAAAGGCTTTTAATTTGAAATATCTGTGTAGAAAGTATTGAATTTCATTTAGGCACTCAATGAAGAAACTGTAGAAGCTTGTTTATAAATGCAATTGGATTTTTTTTTCTGATATTAAGACAAACTCAGAACAATAGAGCTGTGGTTATAACATGAACTTGTTGAACTGATGGAATTAATGCGGTGGAAATGGACAACAGATAAACATGGAAGTGTTGGGTTTGCAATAACAGCAAATTAAAACAGAAGTCAAACAATGAACAGGGTTGCTTCTTATTAAAATATGATATCAAGCATACAAATGAAAGAGGAAGGAAATTAGGTCCTGTCTCTAATATAAACCAGCTACAAATAAAGGTCTGGTTCTCTCTGCAGTTTGGGTAAATAGAATTCCAGGCCACTGTTTGAAAATTGATGCCAAGTTACAGAAACACATCACCAGAATGCACAATGCAAAAAAGGTTGATTTGTTTACACAGGATCGTATAGAAGGATGTGAAGTGTAGGTGAGTTCACAGTCTAAATGTGGCTGGTATTAATGTTCTCTACTGATGTTTAACCACTTGGGCACTTCATATCTACTTACTCGATTGACATCCTGGCTACAGATTCCAGGGAACTGTAGCCAGCTGCTGTGAAGTTGTCTCTGTATCGCTCCATCTTGATGGCTTCCAGCCACTCTCCCACTGAGCGGAAAGCGGTGAAGTCTGGTGTGCTCTGATCTAACAGTGGACTAATTGGTCTGCGGGATGAGCACAGAAAGATGTTTATGTCTTATGTGAAAAGGAAACGTTCCACTGAAAACACAATCAAGCAGGAGACGAGACAAAACGACAACCAAAGGCATCCAGCGGTGCAGTAAATTGCGAGAAGAGGGGAAAAAAACAGCTGATTGGAGGCTTCAATCAATAGGAAATTAACAAACAGATGCAGCATGTCAGCTTTCTGCTTCTGGAAAATATTTTTGTCAATACCCTTTCAATCTGAATACATTCACCCCATACAGTCTCCATATAATAAAGTGCTTTTTCGCCAGCTGTAACCTCTGAGTCTCAATTTCACCTCGGAAAAAGTATGTTCTGACTGCAAATAGAATTCATCTGACAAATGTCAGAGTGAGGCCTGGAGTTCCCACTGCACTTAAACGTACCAGGAACTCATTATAGAGATTGATTCAAAAGCCCTGCTATTGACCATAAAGCCATGGAAGCTGCTCTGGGGTATTGATCCCCTGGGATTTATCTTTCATCTGTGAACTACAGGGGCTAAATCATCCACTGGACACTTTGGATCACCCACTAATGCGCTAAAATAAAAATTAAAGTTCTTTATTGCATGAAGCCACATTTTAAACTCAGTCATTTGAAGTTTTATTTGCTCACCTAGTACATGTTCCCACTGGGGTTTTCAAGGTGTTAGGGTTGCGAATCATCTTATCAAGGATGCCAACTATTTGATCGAATTTGGGTCGTTCGGCTCTGTCTTTCTGCCAGCAGTCCAGCATTAGCTGATGCAGGCCTGGTGGACAGTCCATTGGAGCTGGAAGACGGTAGCCCTCCTCTATCGCCTTTATTACCTGGAGAACGCAAAACAGATGAAGTTATTAGTATCAGCATTTAGTATTATCCTAACCATAAAGTGTTTGTTGTATCAGCCTAATCCTAACCCCTTACTCCTGACTCTAACCCTTTAGAACCAACCTTTAGTATCAAGCTAACCTTAAACTCTTTAGTATCAGGCTAACGGTTTCTGACAAAGTGAATAATTAACTACGCTTCATGTACATTTTATCCTTTAATCACCAAGTTTATAAACAGCAGCAGCAGAGCTTAATCATTTCTTAATCATTATATACAGCAGATGTCCGTGGCCCTAACCAGATTTGATGGTTGTGTGCCAGTTACAGTGAATGGGAACATGAGGACTCAAAGCAGAACTTACTGAAAGTAACTACACTGATGAGCTTTGAGCAGTAATTGTGGAGCGACAGGTTTCTCATCACACCCCATTCCATTACCACAATATGCCTCTCAGATATTAAGTATTTCATGTCTAACAGCTTCCTCTATTGAAATGAGGCTGCTGAGATTTTTTTCTATACTGTACCTGCCCCTTCTAGAGCTATTAATGAATTCCATTTCAATCTTTGAAGCCTGTCTGCAAAAAATACTGCCTGAAAGAGAGTGTTTTAAAGGGCCACTTCACAGTGTTTACATTTTATGTCCAAGTCAATTTACCAAAGGAGTACCACTCCTTTTGACGCCTGTGGAAACTGTTGTATGTCTTTCTTTGGCTCTAGAGGATGGTTGTCAAGTCTGAAAAAACTGGGGCCACGGAGTTTAAAAGAGCATTTACCAGGCGAGAAGGGTCTAACCAAAAACACTATAATATTGTATCATGGGAAATGTTAAAGCCAGTCATTTTGGAACGTGACCAATTCTAGGGACTAAAAGTGAGCATATCTTTGCCTCTGCAGCATCAAGTGTGCCCTTTCTTTTGTAATATCTGTCTCCACATTTGTTCCCCCAACTTTATGGAGAATTGTTGGAGGACCCCTTTAGGAAACATGGCCTTGTTTTATTAATGCTGTCCATCCCCTCTGTCAGTTATGACAAATCTTGGGTTTATCCTATTGATTTAGACCGCTTGGAAGAGAATGTGAATGTAAATGGATGGAAAGTCTTCATTAAAACAGTTTATTGCAGTAGCCCAGACAGACTGGGCAGGGTCTGGCTGTGTCAGAAATCAAAATGCTTACAGTTTTTCTGAATAGCCACACTGTCATAGAGTGGGGGGAGCTGCAATGTTGTTTCAATATGTGGATAAAGGTGCAGATTTTTAGATAGTCTCTCCTGAGAGGTATTAAAAAAAGAAAAGAAAAAAGAGTGCGAGAGAGAGAGAAGTTCAAAGCCTGCTTACTTTCTCACCTCTGCACAGCTGACCAGCTCAAGTGGGTGTGAATGTCGAATTGCCAGTTATGGAAAGTTAACCAAAAGGTCAGATACAGTCCCAATGTTGGAAAGATGTGAGCAAAATGTTATAATAATTCATAGGTGACATAGGTGATGTAAATTAACTTGGTGGTCACATTATGTCACCTTAAAAATGTTTTGCACACTTGATTATTGCATGTTGTATTGTGTGTTGCTTGGCACAGTCTGAAAACAATCGCCTGCCTTCAGTGCTAAACGCTGCAGCTAGGCTTTTAAACTAGGAGATGGCCTCATATTACATCCATTCTTTGTCTCTTCACTGGCTGACTGCAAGTTTTAGAACTGATTCTAAGATTTCACTGATGACCCTAAAGGCACTACAGGGTCATGCTTCTGGTTACATAGTAGACATCTAGAAAAGATCATTCCACAGAGCTTTTAAATCTAATCTATTGTCAATCCGCATCATGTATGCAGTTTAGCACAGAGTTCATTAAAAGTCAATGCAGTGAGAAAAGTAGGTGCAGCAGGCTCTTTGTTTTGAGCCTCTAGCTCCCATTCCCTTATTGTGTGGATGAGGAGCTGTGTACGTTTCTGCATATGTTCATCAGCTATTCCTGTCAGGACCACTCATACAAGAATGAGTCGTGGAGGGAAAAGGTGTCATAACACTGAAACTGTTGGGGAAAATGCAAATAATGTTCTTCCTCCATCCCCGGAGGATGTTTGCTGACATCTTGACAAAGCGCAAGAGTTCTGACATTGATGTCTGTCAAGAATTAGAGCATCAAAACACCACATACGCCACTTTACGGCGGCCTTGTTTAGCATTTCTAACACGTGATTGTTTAATCAGCAGGCCTCTGCTTTGGAGCACCGAAGAATCTTAATCATGTTTAGCCATATAGGAATTTTAAGGCCAGAACTCGCTCGCCTTTTCACATAAATCAAAATGTGTCAAGTGTCCGACAATAGAGAACAGCTTCAAGTGGTCTGGCTCAGTTGGACTCCCTCAGTGGGAGTTGGCAGGAAAGCAGGCAACAGCACTCAGAGAACTTCTGGTGAGTCAATCATGATAGCAATTTGTGACATTTGTAAAAAGAAGTGTGGGTAAATGTGTTCTTTGAAGAAGAATAGGGTGGGCAATGTCAGGAGTCAGCTATTACAATTTACTTGATGTTAAGGCAGGATTGGTACAAAATGATCATCTTGATTATGAATCACGATTACCCGTGTGAGTTTTAGAAATGCAATGAGTTTTATCCTAATAGAAATCTCTAAATTTCCCTTCCAGTTCAACCAACACCAGCAGACAGAGATGTGAACATTCTGAGACTCTGAAGCACTGTATTTATGGTGTGTGAATTTGTAGCTTTTTTTCAGAGCTGCATTGTACAGAGCCCTAATTGCGCACACAAGATTTCTTCTGCAAACAAATAATCAAGATAATAACTTGTGCGCACAAGATAAAAAAATATGATCATCTTTGAGGACATCGGGGCTCTGTAGCATTGCTACAAGTCGCAGGAACTAGAATACATTACTTTGACTGTATTGTGCTTGACAAATTGCTGTATAGTCACTCCTATTTAGTAAGTATTATCGTATCACTTAACACCAGTGTGTTGACTCATCTTGTATAATGAGGTACAAGAATAATGTAAACTAATTCAGTACACTATATTTTACACCGAAAGGTATCAAAACACCCTTAAAAGGGATCATTTAAGAATAATTTCTGAATGTGTAAGGAAATTGTCAAGAGTTTCAAAAAAAATCTTTGGCTGTAACTATTATTTATTTATTATTGTGTTATTTAATCATTTTGATTTGTTTATTTGATTGCATTTTCCTGTCAGATGTTTCTTTTTTTTATTTTTAATTTAGAGCAGATTTTTAAAAAGATGTTAAAAAAGATTTTTAAAAAGATGTTAAAAATCAAAGCAGCAGTCGATATCCTGACTTTTCGACACAAGCATGGGTCCAGCTCTAAAACTCTGGGTACTACATTTGGACTGGTAAATGCCCATTTCTTTCTTTACCTTTATTTAAAAAATGTGTAGTCTCTCAGTTCAAGCTAATATAACATAATGACATTCATATGACATGATCGGCATACCTATGTCTTAACATCCCTGACTTCTATGTCTAAAATAAAATACAATAAAGGAACAAGCAACAAACTGCACTCACTTGTTGCTGCATGTGTAATTTGTTCAGCACTGCGGCTCACAATGGTCACATTACTATAGTCATTATAAAGCATTAAGCATGACAAGTGTTTTTCATTGTTATTTATATTAATACTGTACCAGCATCATGTTCTCAGGTCTTTTGTGCGGGTCCTATTTCAGGGATGTTTCTCCTTCAGATGGATTCAAACTGCACAATAATAGCAAGACTTCTGAACTAATTAGGCCCTAGGTTAAGTCTTCACCGGGCTGTACTTGCACGAAAGCCTTGAACAAAACCCACAAATGTTTTAGTCGGATGACTTCATTAGGGATAAGTCAGGATAAATCTGTCACTAAGACAGTAGTTCTCCCAGATTAGAAGTAACATCCAACACTAACACTCTTTATTTGTAAGCAATAAATGATTAATGGTGTAGAAACTCATCAAAACAAAAACGTCAAGAAATAATAAAAATGATAAGATTGAACCAACAGATATTGAATCTTAAACTATATTACAGACAAAAAAATCCTTTAATTTGACAAGAACCACTGAATGTTTGGCATTTTTGCTCGAGAAATTACTTCAGTAATTAAACAATTGTCAAAATTATTGGTGACTCATTTAGTGTCTATTGACTATTTGCATCAGCAATAATACTGAAAATGACCGGACTGGAGTACTTTAAATAAAAATGGTTTTAGGTGAAAATATCAATTTAGCAAATGAAGTGAAGATGTCTTATCTCCAACCTAACCCTGCCTTTCACAAGGGTTACAAAATCACTGACAAAGGTCTGGGATGAGAATGTGTACTTGTAAAGATAAATCACATCTTCAGTACAGATGGAATAATAGTAGTCCAGCAGCAGAATGATAACACATTGTGTTAGTTAGTTAAGGAATTTAGTGACTCACATCTTGATTGGACATATCCCAGTAAGGCCGTTCCCCATAGGACATGACCTCCCACATAACAATGCCGTAACTCCACACATCACTTGCAGAGGTGAATTTCCGATACTGTATGGCTTCTGGCGCGGTCCATCGGACAGGTATTTTGCCGCCCTGTTCAGAAAAAAAACAGATCAGTGGCTGGAGTAAAAATCACATTCATTAAAGCCTGAATCTTCCCTTACAACAACAATTAGACAGTATAATTACACACAGGTTGGAAACACAAATGTAAATAAAAACAATGGCACCACTTTCAAGTAAGACCCTCTGTGGATTTATGAGCTGTAACTGATTAATTAAATCATCATTATTAAATCAGAGCTATAGCTCATTCATAAGAACAACATGTTCTGTGACAGATGACTGGCAGGTGTTGCTGCAGTGCTGCAAAGCATCTACAATAAAAACCATTAACTGCTTATTTACTTTTCAAACAATTTTAAATTATATTAAAACATTTACTTGTAAATTACTATTTAAATTACTATGTATTTATAAATGCAGACTTCATGGATTATTACAATATACAAAACTCAGGACCTTTTGTGAATAATAAAACAATTGTTTACACATTTATCTCCATTAGAAGTGCATTGAAATATTGCCCTGATATATTGTTTAACATTATACTTTATAGTTTTTACTTGAAATATTGGCTTGATATTTTGTGTAATGGTACTCGGGCTGATTTGTTGGCCTTTTTGCCTGAAAAACTACTTAAAATTTCTTAATAGTAGCTGAAAATAGGTTGGTTGATTAATTCACAAATCATTCACTTGACTAAGACCCATGTCCATGACCCAAAAGTTGCATTTGTTGTACTCTGTGCTGACAGTGAGGGGGAATTCATCATTTTCTATTGAGTACTTATTAACACTTCTTACTGCACACATGTTAACCAGACAGACCACAGTTCTTAACTTTGCTACCCAAAGTTGTTCTTATTAATGGCTGATCTATAAAGCACTAGTAAATAATTAATTAACTATAAATAATATATGAGTTACAACTTATAAACCCTTTATAAATGGGTGCCTTGTCAGAAAGCTGCATCAAAATATAGCTTTTTTAGCTTATTAAAAATGGTGCAGCCTACTTGGGAGTGCACGAGTACTTCTGCTCTATTTTCATGCACCAGCTGTGAATTGATTAGAGAATTCAGACAGGGCTCTGGGTAGAAAGAGCGAGCACTTTAATTGACTCACGGTTGTTGTGTAGACAGCCTCAGGATCGTCGTCTATCACCCTTGACAGGCCGAAGTCAGACACTTTACATACAAGATTGCTGTTGACAAGGATGTTTCGCGCGGCGAGATCTCGATGGACGTATCCCATATCGGAGAGATATCTCATTCCCGCCGCTATGCCCCGCAGCATCCCCACCAACTGGATGACTGTGAACTGACCATCGTGTTTCTGCGTGGCACAGAGAAACACAGGCAGGTCAGCCAGCTTCACTGACCGTGAGGGAAATGTAGGTCAAAGCACTGCAGCAGCTCTAGCACAAGATTCATGATATTTATGCGATGCACAGATCCTACTGCAGACTGCCTGCTGTCTGGGACACTTTCAAGCAAATGCAAAGAAAAGATACAAAAGACGCCGCTTTGAGCCTCCTGCGATTCGAAGGTGATACTCACCCTGAGGAAAGCATCTAATGAGCCGTTCTCCATGTACTCGATGACAATCATCACCGGTTTTCCTGGAGAGAAAAAAGAAAGATGGACAAAGAGAAAATGATTAATTGATAGCTGAATTTTGTTTGCTTACATAATGCCTCACAATAAACCACTACATCTAAACTGCTTCCAAGTTATTTTTAGCTGTGCGTTTCATTGGCTTTTAATTAAAAGTTACCATCTGCTCCTTTTATTACAGTGTCTAAATTACAAAAATGTTAAACAGGGAGTGTGGCTAATTTAATCAGATATAATGTCACTCTAACTATGGCGCTTTTACCTCCCAAAGCTAAATATACTCCGATTTTAGAGCATTTTTAAAACGCTCTCATGGCATTCACGGTTAATATTTTCATTTCACCTTTGAGTTTGATTACCTCTCGTCACGACTCCCTCCAGATGAACAACATTAGGATGGTCAAACTGTCCCATAATGCTGGCCTCACACAGGAAGTCCCGCCTCTGCTTCTCGGTGTAGCCCACTTTCAACGTCTTGATGGCGACTGACACGTCTCGCTTTCCAGGCAGCTTCAGCCGGCCGCTGCACACCTCCCCGAACTCTCCTGTGTGGGATGAAACAATTCCTGAGTGAGGGTGGGTGGGTTTAAAAAAACACTATCAAGAACTTCACAATGACACATTTATTAGTGTATTTCGAGACAAAGCAGCTGTGCAGTGGTGGAGTACAAATTGGAGTGCGACATCTTGTTATACTCAGGGGAGTGTAACCAAGACCTATAATAAGACATGTAGAGATGCATAGATACTGTCATTGACCGCCTCTGTAAAACCCATGTGGCAGCAATTTTTCAGCTGTGGGCATCTCTGCGACTGCCTCTACCAGACGCCCCCCACACATTAATTGCAATGAACTTTTTCCCCTCTTTGCAATTGCGCTATCAATATCCAATGCATAAAGCTGTGTCCCTATTCAAGGTGTAAATATTTGGCTGTCAGTGTGATATATGATAGCACGGAGTGACTAAACGATGAGAGCTAAGAGACACAGGATGGGCTCACCTGCTCCAATAACCCGCTCAATTTTAATGCAGGAGGCGTCCAGCTCCTTGGCAAATTGATGGACAGCCCTGTTTGGGTCCTCGTAGGTTTCAGGGTCAATGTAGGTTTTGGTGCCTGGAAATTTAACTGTAGAAAGGTAAGAGGATTACTGTTATGATTAAATATGCACACTGCACACCAGCGGGCGCTTGACAGGCAAGTGATTACTAAGGCCAATGATTCAGAGGGAACTGCTGAACAGTCAGAGGCCAGTGTCAAAAGGGTTTTCACACAGGAAAATTTTGCACAAATGGGAAGAAAAGATTTGAGTAACTTGTGCTTTTCTGAGGGAGTCAGTCCCCCTCCCTTGCAGCTGAGACTACTTTACTCTCTCAGGCGATGTTGGTTCATACACTTAATAATGCTTGGTAGATTTATGACACATGATATCATTGTAGGGATGAGGGGGTTGTTGCCCTAATTTTCTTTTTTTTTTTTTATGGAACCAAAGAAAGTCTGTAATAATTAGAATTTTACAAGGAGCTAAAAACCTAGTTGTGAAATGTAACCACTTCTGAATACTTCATGTTAAAATCTTAATTCCACTTTATAGCCTTGGAATTAAAACATTGAAAAACAATATCTCTGAATGTATGTGGTTTAAATTTCCAAAAAGTAATTTCACGTTTTTCAATTACTTGGCTATTTTGTAGGAACTGAGATTCAAGCTCCCGGTGTTTCCTGTCTAGGAAGATATGAGTTTGATCAGTTCTTTTCAGACTCCTAACTGATTACTGTCCTAGCACTGATGTTTGAATTTAAATGATCAGTCTTTAATTTTGGGTTCTGAATTTAACCAACTTGTGTTTTTTGGACAGATGATTGTGAGCAACTAGAATATAGTTGAAATTGTGAACCCTATAGACAGTACACTGTATACCACTTGAATTGACATCAAGAGTTGATTGTTTTTTAAAGTAAACTATTTAAAAGCTATAAATTCAGTGCTATTTACATTTAGGTATGTAGTTGAGGTTCAAATTCTTACAGCATTTCTTTTCAAACACTTTTTTTGCCTCTTGGGCTGTATACAAGTTGCCATATCTAAACCTAAGCCAACATACTGTATATGTTTTTGTAATGTATTTACATGGTTTCCAAATCGCTGACCTCCAGTACAGTTGAAATAATATATTTTTTAAAGTTTATGATGTTTGGTTATGAGGTAGTCCCTTGCTAGTCATAAATAAATGCACCATTCGGGATTTACTTGTTCATACACTGCTCTGAAAAAATAAAGTTTTCAGAACAATTTTGATTTACAAATAACAATGTGTAAAATATGCTAAAACTGAACACCAATGAAAGATACAGTAAAAACAACACTGCTCTTTGGAAGGATGCAAATTATTATGTTTCTAGCATAATGTATGAGGGTTTTGAGGGATAAGTCAGGTATTAATTATTTTGTTAAACATAAAGTCCATCCAATTTCAAATAACACTGATCCAGGAAGCGTGCATGAATATCCATGAAGTGAGAGCAGAAGCAGTTTGTAGAAAATAAGAAAAACAAACAGGTTTAGAGAAAGGAGTAGGGGGGTTACCCTTTTGCACAATGTTCCAAATTAACAGCAAATTACAGAATGATGCACTATTAAGGGAACAGACCGCTCACGGTGGCAATTACATGATAAAAATATAACCTGTCAGCTTGAAAATATAATGAGACAGTACAGCCGTAATACGCTGGATAAATTCTGGACCAAAACCACAGAACAGAACTGCGAGCTCATCCAGCTGGAGAGACATTTATTCTCTGCATGGAGGACAGACATGGAAGCCAATCCAAAAGTGTAAATACAACAAATGCATTGTATTTCAGCGAGGGGATGCCGGCAGCTGAGATTTCCCTCCAGTTGCTCCCATAATTGCTTCGTCCATCCGAGATGTCAGCGGATCTGATAGGAGATGTCTTATCACGACTTCCTCTCTTCTACGTGGCAGACAAATTGGGTCTACATGTTGAATTTGCGTGCTATCTGGCTTCTGTCCTCCTGGCAGCCTCTCGTCGTTTGATATTGCGTGCCGAAGCCTTCCATTAAGCCCGACACCGGCCTTGTTTGTGTTTTCTCCCAGTTGTCTTTTTTTTTCTAAAGCAGGTGGTACCTGAGAGCTGCTGAGGTGGATCTGTCAGATACTTAGCAGTAGCCACCCTGCGCTCACCGGCACTGCCTCTGCCTCAGTCCTACCCTTGGTGACACCCCTGACCCGTTGTTTCCAAATCAGCAGTTTGCCTACAGCGCGGATCATTACAGCTGTACTTGGGGAAGCTTTCCGCAGCTGTATCTCCAGGGGCATCATTAGGACTGGTGTATCAGTGTTACTGATAGAAGGCACCCAGAAGCAGCCCCAGCGACGAGGCAAACTGTGTGCACACCAGAAACTCTGTCGCTCTCTAAAACCATCTGAGTTATGGCTTTTACATTTTTAAAGGAACACTCCTTCCTCACGGTTCAACCTCTACTCCCCTGACAGCTGTCACATTCGTGCGTTTGTAGCTTCCTTACTTCTTCATCGCCACAGTCTACCCAATCAGCTGCAGATTTGATTTGATTTGATTTGATAGCCTTTATTGTCCCTGAACTTTGACTCAAATCCAATGAACTCGGATCAAACAGTCCAGCCTGTTGGTGCTAATGTTTTTTAAGCTTCCTGTTAAGTATGCAGTAATTGAGATGACTCTATCTGCGTGTGTGTATGTACATTATATGCAATATGTGTGTGCATTTCGGCTGATGAAAGCAGACACTCACACTGAAAGTAGAGCTCCTCGTCTCCCTCCTGGTCGGCTTTGCTGTACCCGCAGTGCCTGCACGGGGGGGAAGCAGAATCAACTGATTGTGAAGGGAGGAAATAAACGCCCTAAATTATAAGAATTTTAATGCAGCAACTAATGCCGCGCATGACAAATCTCTGCTGAGCAGCAGGAGCTGTGAACCCAGCCCAGCCTAGTAAAGTAGCTTAAGTAATCATGTAACACATCAAATAAGGCATGCACTGTAAAAGACTGTTGAACATGTCTTGCAACAGGAATTTATAATATAACGTGCTGAAGGTTCCCTCAAGCAGGTGATCTGCTTCACAAAGTTGGTCTTTGAGTACTAACTGAAAAAAGGGATGACATGGGACGGTGAAATAAGCCACAAATGATGGACATGCACTTACAGGCCAATGGCTTTGTCATTGTGTCTTAGCTGGGCATGCCACATTTTTACCATGCCTAGCTATTTTGAACTACTGTGGACTCAGGAAGAAGGTATTAAGTGGGCCTGAGTTAAGATTTTTATGTTTTGAAGCTCAAGAATGACCTTTCAAGCCATATACAGTATTACTGTTTTCAGAACAAATTAGGCTTCTCAGAAATGCTGTCAATTGGCATGTGATTGATAGTTTACTGTAGATGTTTTAAGTTTAAGCACTTTTAAATCATTTCGATTTTTTGCCTGTATGCCCACAGGTTTTTAACACATCATGGTTCTCTGTACGTAAGTGAATAGAGAAGAGTCTAAGTGTTCCAGAAATGTAAGAACTATGTTGACCATGGGACATTCTTAGTCACGGAATCTTCAAAATGTACTGAAATTGTTAAACAAAACAAGCCAATTTTCACAGAATCTGTCATTCTTTTACATGCAGAGCTAACTGTGAGCGGGAACTAACACTTGCCATACTAAACTGACAGAAAAAGTATTCTTCAGAAGTTGAAAAAATTACATAACATAACATAAAACCATGGTGGCATTAGATTTACGTCCTGTGTTTAATGTTGACAAACACTGAGGGTATAACGAAAAGAAAACAGGAACTCACAGTGGGGGAAAAAGTGGCTGCATCACATGTCTAGTTTTTGTAGCCTATCAATGGAAAATGATTTGCTGCTAACAGTTCCTCTTTGTCTAGATTTGATGATCATAAGGCAATATCTGAAGTTCTGATCTTTTTTACATGATTTCTATACAGATTTATGGGCCCTTATCTCCGACTGACATTAGAGATATTGCTATCACTTAAAAGTGAAAGTGACTTTGACACCAGAGGGATTTGTATGACATCTTTGTGTTGTGGTTTGACCAAATGACTCAGAGGCAAGGCTTCACAGCAAGTATTAAAATGGGGCCAGGGAAGGCTAATTGTAATAAACCCACTATTAAAAGTAAGCGCAGACAAAATGCCATTCGTGCAGATGAAAATACAGATGAAGAATGTGAATGTATGTGAATGTGATAATGACAATGGGCTTGGTGCTTTGTGATGGTGGAAAAACTTTCTGTGCCATTCTTCTTCCTGCCCTCAGGATCTCACACAGGAATGTGGAGCCAAAGCTTTCTCGCTCTGGAGTACTTAGTCTCAAAATGGCTATGCAAAAATAGAAAAAATGTTGTTAGGGCTGGAGAAAAAAAAAAAAAGGTGATGCATCACAACCCATTAGCACAGCATGCCACAAGATGATGGGTGCACGTGTGGGTGCATGTGACGAGTCCACAGACGTGGAGGCCTGTGAGTGACAGAAAGGCTAATTGACAAGCGCAGACTCACAGGAGCGGAGAGTCAATGGGGCCCGCGAGAGCGTACCTTCTCCCGATGATGAAGCCAAACACCATGAACACCAGGATGATGGTCCCCGCCACGGCCACAACCGCGATGATGATGACGGGGTTCTGCTCGCTGGAGACAATCGCAGCTGATGAGACGGACACACACATAAGACAGACATGCAGAAAGACAGAAATGCTCAGTGCACATCAAAAGACTTCAATCTGCAAGGCGTGATTGAGGCATGGAGATTGATAACCCCCCCCCCCTTCTCTCATTCCCTCTGAGGGAGCGGAGGAGGGACGCTTCTATTTTTGAGCCATCCTTATACACACGGCTCTACTGTTTCAGAAAGTGGGCTTAATAGTCCCAGACGGCAACAGCGATGCCCTTCATCTCAAACAAAGACACATTCAGGTTGGACTGTTTCCCATTCAGAGCTCTCACAGTGCTCAGACTGTTTGCGTTGACAAACTGCCAATTGCTCCAAAGAATGGCTTGCCGTGGCATCATATAAAGTCAGCGCGAGCGATGTATGAGTGGGGAAATTCATGCATTTTAAATCAAGTGGATCTGCGCCGTCAAAATGAAAGGGAAAGATTGTGTTGTGGCCTGTCTGAGGAGGAGGGGGGCTGAAAAAAGGTGGTGACATTCGATCAGATGTTACTCAATCAGGCTTCAATATCCCTCCAGGTGTCTGTTTCGTCATATTACACGCTTGCAGGTTTTGCTCTTGAGGCTGGCACAGAGGAGGCTAGTGGCTCACTGCGCTGATCAAGGACACTTTGACTGGACTACAAACTTCTAACCTTGTTAGAAGACACACTCTGCCTGTGGTATGAGTAATTAGTGTGTCCTTTTATAAGGAAATGTTAAATGTAAGCTGGGTGGGGGCATGTTTGGGTGGGCAGGTTGGATGTTGGGGCTCAAAAATAGTGACTAATGTGGTTTTCACAAATTAGAAGAAGCCTCTAAAATAAAAGAAATATGCAATGATATGAATAATAAAACAATAAATTAAAAAAAGGCAACCTTAATAAGGGGTTTAATACATTTGAGACAAAAAGGTTTATTAATGCTTCATGAATGATTTACTAATGCTTTATAAATCAGTTATAGGCCCACATAAAGAACCTCTGGGTTACCAGGTTGCGAAAAATCCTTTTGGCTGGTGTTTACTGCATACAACGGACCATTTGACCTCTTACCCTCAGGAGGAGTGTGTAAGTATCCTGACCAAAATCCATTTATTCATTTATTTACAACAACCCCTTTATTAATGACTTATTAAAATTTATAACTGCAGGTGACTTACTAACTGTTGCTGTTTAGATGTAACCAAGTATCTTATTTGCTTTCTGTCAATAGACGATCAATCTCATGTCTGTGTGTTAAGTAGCTGGAGTCATATTTAGCCTTGATTAGCATAAAGATCGGAGGTAGGAAAAAAAAATACATCTGCCAACACCTCTAATCTCACTAATGTAATACAGTGTATGTGTGTATTCCATGCACAATTTTTTGACTCAGTGAGAATCAGTGTCCAAAATCATGCCCTTTCACTTTTTCGCCCCTCCATAACAAACACAAAAGAGTTTCCTCTAGTGGTCGGTGGGTTAGATGGACACCTCATCACTGACAGGTGAGGTGAACCGTTTTCAAATCCATAAAAAAAAAGGACACAACGCAGAAAGTAGTGTATGTGACACAGCTTTTTTTCTACCCTACTGTGTATCCATGTTTACAATATTTTATAATGGCAGACATTATGACCCATAACACAAACACCTCACAGCAGCACCCCTCACAGCTAATGTATCCGATTCGATTTAAATGAGTTTACTGTCATCACGCTACAGCCGCTTGTCCTTGTGCTTAGTGATTTTTCCCATGACGTCAGCAATTTCTGTTCGCAAAGCAAATGATTTCCATAGTCTATCACTAAAGCAGCTGAAAAACATTAACAGGTCGGGCATAGGTCTGGAGTTAAAAGCCAGTGTTCCAGAACAATGTGTTGGTATGCTGCTGCGGTCAAACTCGCTGATAGGTGCTTGTCATCAGTGTATTTGGAGAAATACTCTCTGTGGCCCTTTGATTCAAAAGATGATCAGACACTCCTCACTAATTATTTCAATTTTCCAATATCTCCAGTTCGTCAATACAGATTTCACTTAAAGATGATAATTCTTGCAAGATTAGGATCATATATAACATAAACTAACTGCAAAATATATTATTCATTATTGGTGTACTGCAAAAGCTAATACAGAACATTTCCAGAAATTGTCTATACTGTTTCCTTTTCTGAGTTCACTTTTCTACTGCCATTTATAGTCAAAAAACAACTTTGAACATAATATATAAACCTAAATTAATAAATAAATATGAAGCATGGGTTGAATTTTACTGTCAAAAAGTCTGTGTGGGAATTAATAGAATGGAGGTTTTAACTCTGGGACATGGGGAAATACAAAACAGAACTGCATTGGGCAATGTATCAACAAGAAACAAGTAGAACGTCAATCAAGTTTTATCCTGTACTGCAGAATAAGTATAGTGAAATCTGAAAATGTCCAAATATTGACTTTAAACTATCTACAAATATTAATCCACAAGAATGTATTCATATTCGTTTACATTAAAAAAGTGTGTGTTCTCACATTGGTAGCCTGTGTCTAAATCCTACCTGTGGCCTCTTCCTTGGTGGTTATCTCTAGTCTGGGGCCAAAGGTGCCATATCCTGCCTCTGTGAAGGCCCTGATCTGAAACACGTAGGCCGTGCTGGGCCTCAGGTTGTTCACTGTGGCTGATGTGGACTTGGACCTCACTGTGGAGTAGATCCGGTCCTTCTGATCCTGTACAAAGAACAAACCATATTTTATTCAAAGATTCAATTTTCAACATCCAGCTGCTCTGTGAACGTCTGGGTTATAACCCACTGAAGTCTTGTTATCACAGCATCTTTGCTTCAAAAATACCGCAGATACTTCAGAGGATGTAATTACCTGCCCTTTGGAAACGCAACAGAAGTGATGTAACAAAACCATCCAACATTTAATAGTCATTTTATATTTACTCAGTATATATGTCATGAGTTCTGAAATAGCATACAGCTTATTTTTCTGAGTTGAGGCAACCAGACTTTTGTATAAAACAGGATGTCATTAGAGAGAGGGCCTCATTTCCAAATTTAGTATGAGTATAACTGTTCATACTTTATAAGATGCCTCCCTGGTTTCTGATCAGCTCCTGTTTCAGTTTGCAGTTGATGCCCCCTCTATGTTTACCTGCTGTCTTGATAAACTCAGTATAATGTGCATTTCCACAGAACTAATTCCATCAGTGCTTCTACTTTGCCTTGTTTTTTGAAAATCGCTTCTAAGCTACCTTCAATCAAACTTCCTGCACAAATGTTTCACATTAAAAGCCTTCCAGTGGCTCCAAGGGCAAAATCCCATCTTTCCATGGTAGACTTTTAAAGTGACATGCCGGTTGAAAGTGTTGCTTTTCACTGAGAATAGCTTCAACACTGTTTTTACACTGATGGAATTAGTGTCATGAAATGTGCATTATGTTCCATATAAGGTATTGAGCTACAACACAGCAAAAATGTTTTTTACCCAGCCTTTATTAAATACCAGCTTTTATTTGAGATTTTACGGTATTAATTAAAGAATGAAAATAAATTTTACTAAACCTGTGCATAAACTTATTATGCTTTACACTGATTTTATATTACATCTCTTATCTTAACTGAAATTCTTTTCTTAGGCAGCCTGCCACACAACACACTCGACATATGAAAATATCTTCTCCATCCAGGTATCCATTTGGATGCTCCGGCTGCACGCACTGTGTTCTTTTGTTGTTGATCTGTAAATGTTTTGCTCGGCAAAAACCCAAATGGAATGCCAGGGTCTGTTAGGGGTGTAGTTGTTGTTTCCAATTTTCCACTTTTACAGCTGGGCAGACCACAGCCACAGTACGTGACACAGGAGACTGATTCGTCAGTGCTTGCGAGAGGCTGTGGCCAGCAGCACTGGCATCAGTGCTCTGCTACCCTGCCTTTGATTTGCTGGGTTAAATTTGCTCCATTAAACCTTGCTGTAAAAAGCTGATCTGTTCAGACTTTAGACACAGGAAGGCAACGCTACAATCTCTGTAGAAGGGGAAAGGAGATAACAGTAACAGATTGCTCATTCTGGCAGTGCAGCAGCCACGGGTAGTGTGTGCGCTAACATGTGCGTGGGGGCGGCTGTGAAGGACTACAGCCTGATTAAAATCTTACGAGCATCTCATTCATTATTGCAATTATGAGACAAAGAAGGTACTTCCAGAATCTTGTGAATTCACAGCACACTCACAGCAGCATGCAGATAGAATACAAAACGAAGAGTCGGCAAAAGCGAGTGTGATGTGAGACGTGGAGGGGAAAGGCTTTCAGAAAGATGCACAGACAAAAACAGCAAACTCACTTTTTCGTAGTATTTGATTTCGTATTCCGTGATGACGCCGTTGGGTTGGTGCGGCTCCTGCCAGGAGAGCTGGATGCTGCGCTGCTGCACTTTCTCCTTGATGACCTCGCTGACCTGGGACGGAGCTGTTTAGACAAGAACATGTCAATAAGCAGAGGGCAAACCTTCTCTGCAAGCGCACGCATACAGCCAGCCACTAATCAGCTGCGCCGACTCCTCCACCGGCACTCAGCGGTCCTCGCAAGCTGACGATTATTCACAGGGACGCTTGTTTACACCTCATGATCAAAATTTCAATTACAGTGCAAACAGCAGAAGATAGCGTTACCCCAGCCCTTGGAAAACTGCAACATGTAGATTATGAATGACAATTCGGTTCAATTAATTCCAACATTTCCAGCAGAACAAGCAGGCACTTACTCCCCCTGATGACAGAACTATTCAGAAAGCCTCTTAGAAGGAGAGGGGGTGTACCTGTAACCTCCTGACACCAGTCTTATGCACACCAATTATCTCTGGCTCTTTGCATCACTCATTTTAAGCGTCTGGCTGCTTGGATTAAGTGCTACCACATTTAGATTTCCTAAACAGTACACACACAAACACACACACACACACGCACACACACACAGAGTAATATTCTTTAGTTGTCAATACCTAAAGGTGAAACAAGGTACTGAAGTTGTGTAGATGGAGCTTCCTACATCGGTGCCATGTCATGTCTCAGCGTTCAGCTCATTCACAGCTTCCTTTCCTGTAACTACTACCAATGCTACTGCTGCAACACCTCGCTCTGCTACTGCTGCAACACCTGCTATAGCAGCTGTACTGTTAGTGGTACTACTTCTGTTACGGATGTACCACCAACTACTGCTACAGTACAGTGTTGCACTTCTGATCTAATAATGCCAAGGCCACTGCTGCTGCTGCTCATGCTACTCTTCCTGCTATTATTTTACTATAACCACTGGAAGTGCTGCTGAATCTACTTTTGCTTTGTTTTTCACATGCAAATTGACTGCTGTCAACAAACCTATTGTAATTACTAATGCATTGATTACATGTAATTTAAGGAGAAGACAATGGTCCTTGTGTCCAGAGCATCGTTGATATTTTGGCTGTAAACAAAACACTGATCTAATTTCACCATATGATGTTGCTTACAGAGAACATGTTAGAAATCTGTTGCCTTTTTACACATCCTCCGGACACACAGCAACATTAGCCTTCATTTAGATTCTAGTGTCGGCCCACCTGTAAGAGCAATATCCACCCCACTTTTTTTTGTTCTCATTTCATTCGGGCTCATTTCCAACCAACTCCTGAGAAAAATATCTTTCGATGCTAAGAGTCCCACGATGCCTACCAAACAGTCGCTAACTTTGTTAGATGTTTATGACTGGGCGTTTGTTAAAAAACAGCTGCCTGCTTCTGCTGGAGATACAGTTCATCAGACGAGTTGAGGGCCCAACACCCAGCACAATGAGCTAAAAGATGCTAAAGTGCAAAGTAGAGTTGAGGGGAATTGCACTTAGTGATAATTCTTTGACTTTTAAATGTCATATTTTCTTAAAACCAATTAAAATATCTGCCAGTGTCGACACAGGATTTCAACCTGTTTCCATTCTCTAAAATTCAGGTTTGTTTTTCTTGATTTTAGAGCAGCTTATATTTTTCTTCATGATATACACAATCCTTTCTAGAAAGTACTGGTAACAAGTAACATGTTTAATTGAGGCGTTTTTAGGACTTAGTTATAAAAGTTAGCGATTTCAGTAGGAGATTTATAGTGTGTTACTTCTGCTACTAGATTTGCAGCTGTGCCTTTTGGTACAAATTCCATTACCTATACATCATTACCATCCTCATCTTGATTATAATCACTATCATTTTTACAGCACTTTTCTTAAAGACCCCAGCGAGGGAAAAAAGGGCAAGCTTTTTGTGTTACTAAACATCACCCCAAGGAGACGATGCTTTCAGAAAATATACTTACTGAAAATCTGCTCTCTGAACAGCCTGAAAATCCTTTCTGTAAACATACTGTGAAATCTTGATGACTCATGCTGCTCTTGGGGCAACACATATTAATTAACACGTCTTAGCAAGTTTGGAAAGCCGTCGTGGGGACAACTCGAACTCCAAGGTAAAAGCCACTTGTCAGAAACCGTATTTGATTTCTTTTTTCCTGGGTCTTTCATGGATCAGCGGAGTGCTTTCAAATGAGAGGGAAGCTTGTGAGTGACAAATTAATACCAAAGAAATCTGCAGATTGTACAGTCTTGTGATTCAAGTGACAAAGATATGCTGTATTTTTTTTACTGAACAACAACGAGAGACAAAACCCTTTTCCCTGGACTAGCCGAAGCTGCTGAAGTGTCTTTGTCATGCTCAGTGACCCAGTGGTAGTGGACCTCCGTAGCCTTAATGCAGCCTGACCTGAGATTGTTTTAAGATGACCTGCCAGTAATGACTCCGGCTGGATTAAAACCTCATTAGGCCTCATCGGTATTCCTGACAGTAATGCTCATGACAGCGGACACCGAAGACCTTGTCAAAAACCCGCTGTTGTGACATGTCCCCTCATAATCCACCCAAAACACAGGAACAATGTATCCTTTCTCAGCACAGTCAGCCGGTCAAAGGAACAATTAAGTTTTCTCTCCCAAGTCACAACAAACAGTTAGTGCAGCTTAGCCTCATCCAATTTGGCAATTGGCTTTCTCTGCCCCCCGTCCGGGCACGTCCTTGAAATATGGACCTTTCTCTTCCGGGTCCTAAATCTGGATCAGGTTTATGGGTGCTAAATGACACATATGTGTTTACTGCTTTAATCTGACATTTGCTTTCAACCTTCGGAAGATGTCTTTTTCTACAATGCATGTACACAGAGAAACATTATTTCAGTTTATATATCTCCACAAATAAAAGCTTGAATTGTCATACATGTAGCTGTACTAACTGAAAAATTGCAAAAGAGAGTGAGAGAGAGGAAGCGATCCTCATTTGTAAAAAAACACATACTTCAAAGACACATGGTTTTGGAGTGCCGGCAGAGATACTGCCAGGGCAGAGCTAGCACACATCATGGCGAGCTTCTTTCCCACACAGCTTCTTTTCCCCCCCAGAGTGTGACGCAGGCTCAGGCACCAGATCTGCCCCATTTACACCCCTTTGGCCCGCAGCTGTAGTAGCAATGACTCAGCCTCCACTCCCTTACCCTGCCACGGGTGACAGAGAGCCGGGCCCTGTGTTTCCACAGAGATCATGAGATCAGTGAACAGTATTAGCAGACTCAGTGTTCCACGGGCTAAAAGGTGATCATTTCAGGAAAGGGATTTTCAGAATTGAAAAGCAGTCATTCTCGATTTTTCAGGGCTGTGAATGAAGACCAGAGTTGAGCTTTGATTCTAAGAAAAGCCTGCTCCTCAGGCTCTCTCCCCTGCAGATCACTCAGGTGGCACTGTGTGACAGACATTAATGACAGACCTGATATCATGGAAACCAGAAGCAGCCACTCTCAGACTTAACATACCTGTGGGGCTTAGCATGGCGGAAAATTGTATAATTGTTATGCCGGTCTTATAGAGACTGTTTGGGAAGGCATTTGTGCATTAATTTTGCAATATTAGAAAATGTGTCGGTGACCCTGAAAACCTTCCCCTGTAATGCTAACTGATCCAGAAGCCAGCCGCCACCGTGCTCTGCATGTGAATGTCTTATGAATACATTAGACAGTGCGTTTTAATATCCTCTTCTTTCGCTCAGCTGGCTGATTTCAACTCTGAGGCGAAGAGCAGAGCGGAGGTAGTTCATTACATAAGCATGTTTCTCTGCCGTGCTTACCTCATGGACCGTACCAGTGCTATAAACTCGTGTATTAAGTACTGCTGTTTTCCAGATGTGCTCACGTAAGGCCTGTGATCCTATCTTTGTCGAAGTGCACAAGATCGCTGGCATGTAGCAGCGTTTCAAAGGTTTTTAATTTGAGCAGGAGATTGTAACGTCCCCTTGAGGATATGAACAACAAAAAATCCTTTGGGCCCAGTATGGGCACATAAACAACCGTAAGGTAAGCAACACTTACTTAATTGTTTCCTCACAATTCAAACAGTGGAAATGAAATGACATATTTGGAGGTACTGCACACATATGCAGTCTTAAGGTTAATATCCCGCTTTGCTAGCCGACTTTGCTCACCGCCATGTAAAGTATTTCATACTTTGAATGGCATTAATGCATTTCACATGTCTATTCAGTTTCCTCTTTCATCACTGCAGAACTGAATGTTTACAGTTCAGCGGAGTCTAGTTGTTAGACTGAGGGATCATCTCCGGCAGCCCGTGAAACAAAACCCTGGCGACAGTTTGGTCCCGGCTGGTTGACACTAACGAGGTATGACATAATCAAGATTACTTCTACTTGATGTTGTGACTCCCATAACATGGCGCAAAGAAACTGCTGTTAACTGTTGCCATCTTGAGAAACGTCAATTTAAGGAGTGCCCGATCCCATAAAAAGGATGATTGTGGACCCAAATTACGCTCTTTGTGGGGATTACAAGACATGGAAGTAAAGGTGCACTCCAGCTATTTGGTACTATACTACCATAAAGTTGGCAGACTCATAAGAGACAGATTTGAATAAGAATGGTCAAAATTGAAGCAGCAGAGGCCAAGAGATGCTGAGCTTTTGGTCCTAGTATGAGGCAAACTCCAAAGTACTGGATCCTGCATTTCCCACAATGCAAACGGTATTATTTTGTTACTTTATCCTACCTAGTAAATGCACTGTTTATAACTCTTTCTGTTCCATTTGATTCTTTTTCCTTTTATCCTTTATTGTCTTTTCTTCCTCTGTGCTTATTTTATTTTGGCCATATTCTCATTGTATCCTTGTCTGGTTGTATTTCCTTTTGTAAAGCACTTCGTAACATCATTAAAACAATCCTGTATACAGAAAGTTTATTATCAATGTTATTATTTCTGTTGAAGATTGGTGGAATTCCCCTTTACAGTCAAGGTTAAGCAGTTTGGGTGGGTTTTGCTCATGGTTAAATGAAAACCACTTTTGCTGAAAGTAAAGACTTAACTCGGGCTCAGAAAAGTCGCTTGCATGAGTTGAG